AAAAATAAATAAATGTTAAGATATCATTCTGATAGCTTTTTTGAGGCTTTTGAGATTTTTAATTAATTTTAAAAAATTTCTACTTTAATTAAATAAATTTAAAAAATAAATTTGCAGAATTTTAAACTTAAAGTAAATTTTTTGACTAAAGAATAATTTTTATAAATTTATTTATCAGAAACACTTATTTTAGAAATTGTTTTTATTATTTATTTGTAAAGCAGCCTTCTTTACTAGTTTCTTCCAAGATTAATGAGAAATTGTTATTAATTTTTTACTATAAATAAAAAAGTTTTAAGTATCCCCCACATGAAATTTAAAATAGTATTTTGTAATACAGTTATCTTAATGCTATTTTTTAGGTTTAAATTAGCAACTGAAACTATGGAAATTAGTGAGCCAACCAGAAACATCAATTATAATCCTTCAAACGTAGATAACGTAGAAAATATCGAAGCACTATATTTTAAATGCGTTGAAGAAAGAGGATTAAAAAGAGTTTTTTTTTCTACAATGCTTAAAGTTTTAGATTTAATGACTCATGTAGAAGAGAGAATATGGATAGAATATTCTTTAGAATATTATTCGGGATACATTGAAAGGAATCCACTTAAAGAAGAAAAATATATTAAAAGGTGTTCAGGTATGTTTAAACTGCTTGAGAAACTTAAAAATCGTTTATTTACAGACCATTCTGAACAAAAACTTATTTTTGAAAAATCACGTCTGTTTGATTTTAGGAATAAATGTTACAGATGTGATAATTGTATTGAACGTAATGCTGAGAAGAATTTGGATTTTATTTATAAATTTGAACGTTGTAAAAAAAAATATGAATACTATCTTTTAACTAAAGACCAAGCCATATTACATAAAAATTATTATCATTTCTTTGTTTACGTTAGTGCAGAATTAATTAAGAATTTGGAATTGAAAGATGACGAATGGAAAGCATTGAAAACAATATTTGGTATGACATCAAAAAATACTAGATATTCATTTTTAGAAGTAATACTAATTAAGTGTTTTGAAATTGCAGATCGATTAATTGAACCAATGGCGAGATAAGCATTACAATTTTCTAATATAATACCATTTGTAAATATTTTAACTGATATTATTAATTAAATCGTTGTTAAATGTACAGGTAATTTAAAGAATAAATTTTTTATTCATAATTTTTAAATATATAATAAATAATTTTTAGTGCAATATAATTTAAGTGTGTAATATATTAATTATGCAGTATTAATTCCAAGATATTGTGCTAAAATTTATGTATAAATCTTAAGCTAAAAAATAAATGAACATTATAGCAAAAATTTATAAAATATTTTAGTTTATCACAAGAACACTAATAAACACACAAATATATCATATTCGCCACTAGGGCGATAGCCCATCAATCATTCAACTTCTTTAGATAATGATTTTTAGTTTACAAGTCTTTACGCGCCATCAAACTTCACTAAATACGAACCTTTATTACATTTAGTCTTAATCATAACTGTATTAAAAAGTCTACTTTTTTCGTATTTACTGCTATTCTTTAATTTTTATTTTCAAAAAATACTTTTTTACTTCCTCCGACAAACTTTGCCCTTTGTTAAAACATAAATTAATGAATTATTTATTTGAAGGTTAGTATTTTCTTTTATATTTGACTTATTGCTCTGGTGACACCACTGAACAAATTTGGTGGTAGATTCGACTCTCTTCCATTCTCTGGTACATTTATGTCACCTCTTCTTCGGTACTCCAACGAGATACTCTCAAAAGACTTCTTAAGTGTCACCGATTGGATTGTTAAAACATAAATAATATAAATTATCTTTATTTTTAGAAATTCTTTTTGATCCATTTTCCTCTTCATATTGCATTCTTGTAAAACAATTTCTACTGTACTGTCCTGTTTACCACGATTATAGCATCTCGTGGCATAACCTTATTTTACTTCATTTGTTCTTCAAAGTATTATTAATAGTTTCTTGTACTTTTTCCATAATGTTATATTTAACTTGTCTTGATATGCTTATTCTTCCGCATAATTTGCTTCTTTATTTATATAAATTTTCTCATTAAGTTTCTCAACAATATTTTTTCTTCCCCTTTTCACTTCACTGTTTTTATGAAAAAACTTTCAACTCATAAAAACTTTTTTCAAAGATATATCGCTTACGTTCGTATTCTCCTGCCATTTCCATAGCCACCTAATACTGTAACAATTTAATTTCTATGAGTATTTCGACTTCTTAACACAACAAACATTTGTATATTCTTTGTGTAATTATTCCCTTTATCATAGAAAATTTTGTAAGTTTTAGTTTATTTTTATGAAGTAATGACAGATTTGTAATGTTTTTTTAATATACAAACGATATTTTGCGTGTTTCTTTAAATCTGTATTTAATACTTTTTGTAAACATTTTGTCATTATAGCTTTTTTATAAATATAAAGAGAATAATTTAGATTTTTTAACATGGAGGCTTGAAAAAAAAAATGTAATAACAATTAAAGAAAAGGAAAGCACATAAGCATTGTTGTGTCTAAAATTCTATTTATAGGCGGTTAACAGAAGCCAGTCATCATGAAATAATATATTAATGATTAGTTGTGATGTCGACTGGCGTATTTGTAGGGTAGCGAACCCTGCCTAAAGTATAGTTCTAACAAGTTATTTATATAAGCCTCTTGGGCTGACACCTTGTTGTTTTGTTTGTTATCTATAGTGCTGATCAAGTTTGTCTGCGTCTATTTCTTTTTTTCTTAAGGGTTTAAAAGTTTTTTTATAGTCAAATTTTAATTTAACAGTTAATTTATTCATTTATTAAAGTAATAATTAAGTGTAGACAAATATAAATTGAATAATAAATCAACTAAAAATATAAAAGTAAATAAATCAAAGATTAAACAAAACATGGTATTATACCACATCGACCATTACATTGCAAAAAAAAGTATTTTAAATTAGAAGGTAAAAATTTACATATTTTGCCACAAATAAAGTTTAGCAATTTACAAAATAATCTAAACTTTTAGTTTTTACAAAAACTTATATCTTGTTCTTATTTCTCACTTCAGAATCAAAGTACAAAATTTCTTGTCTTTTTTTGTAACTGTAAATTCAATTGGAATATAATAATTGATATTAGCGATATAATATTTTTTTCGTCTAAACATGTTAACTTAGGCATTCATGCTTTTTAAAAATGTTGCTAATTTATTTGGTATGACCTCTCGTGGGTTATGATGTACATAATGCTCTATTTTTATATCTCCACTTTTAAAAAAACACAAAAAGCTTTTTTATCCTCTTTATGACGTTTATGACATGTAAAATCTTTCAAATTAGGAATCAAAAAAATTTAAAGATACGTGTCATGCCCCACAAAAAAATTAACGACGGTAGTTAATAAATTGATCTTATAATCACAATATAAGTATTGGTTTTTTAGAACAAATAAATTCCTTTTATCAGTGTTAAAGGTATTTAAAGAAAATTTTAAATTAAATATACAGTTTGTTCAAAAAAAATGCATGCTCAATTAATGTATTTATTTTAGATTACAAGAAATAAAAGAAGAGTTTTGGTAAACATAATTTTATTTTAAGATTTTTCATTAATTTATATTTGATTTTTAAAAAATTAAATAGCTACAAATACCAATTTTAAATTAAAAATGTCTTAAAAAAACTCATATTTTTATTCAATACTTAGTATGCACTCCTTTAACTTTTAAAACATTCAATGCTCACTTTGAAAAACTTTTTGAGTATTTTTGGCACGTTTCTAGACTAATACTGTTCCATCCAGCTTGTACTACAGTCTTTAATTCATTTAAATTTTTAGGTTTTAAATTTGATTTTTTGGCCTTAGCGAGCCCCATAGATTCTCTATGAAGATTAATCGGGAGATTGAGAAAATCATGGTATTTATTCGACACCCTTTGCTGCAAACAACTGCTTTGTTATGTTTGCAATATGGTTTGGATCGCTGTCCTGCCGGAAAATGTACTCTGAAAGGCCTATAGTTTCTGCATAAGCGTCTTAGTTATCAATAAGAATGCACATGTATTTAATTGCATTCATTTTTCCTTCAATGAATATTAGTTTTCCTACTCCATAGTATGAAAAACAGATCCATACCAATATAGACCCCGCCGTGCTTAATTGTTAGACCAAAATTTTTTTATAAAAGTCCTATATTTGGTTTTTTCCAAACTAAAATCTTACCATCAGAATAGAATAAACTTACTCTATCACTGAAAATTATTCTCTTTCTATATTCTTTTTTGAGTGCTAGCCACTTAAATGCACCATCACTCCTACTTAAAATACCATTTTTTGCAATAGAGGCTTCTTTATAGGTGCATATGCATAGATACTACTCTCATAAATACAGTACCTTATTGTATCCTGCTTAACACTAATATTATTTACAGTTTTCATTTCTATACTAAGCTTTCAAAGTAAAATTTTTGGATTTTTGTTAACTTTTTTCATTATCCCATTTTTAATAACACCAAAGCATTGTTTAGGCCTTCCATTGCCTCTCGAGTGTTTCAATATGCCTTTCAGTTTATATTTTTTTCTGATTCCTTTTTATAGTGAACTAAGTGACATTAAATTAGGATACAACTTTCTTTTGAAAAAACTCATTTTGTAAAAGGTTCAAAATTTGCCCAACCTCGATTTCAGACAATTGCTTCATTGAAAGCATAGCAAAAGTTTGTTTAAAAGAAAATTGGATGGAATTTATTTCAATTTTAGCGAAAAAAATAAAACATGTGTTTTTTTAGACAAAATTAATCAAAAATAGGCATTTATAGCTATTTAATATTTAAAAAATTAAAGGTAAATAAATAAAAATCTTTATTTACGGTTTAATTTATGAAATTACTCTTATAAATCATAAAAACGAATAAAATATGCAGCTATTCAATACGCGTTTTTTAGACAAACTGTATTTTCTATAAAAGCTTTTTATAAAAACAGGTCTATATACCTCCCATTTCTAGAAAGCCGCATCACTTCCTTTGACACAGCAATACGATTTACATCCTCTCTTATTTTATCTCAAAACAAGATTATCAATGTTATGTGTTTAAAATTAAAAAATAATTTATAAGGGCCATTTTTTTACTTTTTTTGCTTTGAATGATGTTTAAAGGTAAGTTTTTTTTCATACTAAGGGTTAAAAAAGTGAAAAAATTTGGCATAAGATTAATTAAATCTAAAAATAAAAAATTTTTTTGTTATTGTAAAAAATAATTTCCTAGAAGATCTAATGATAAAAACTGTTATGGATAACCATAACATGTTTCTTTGTATTAATTGGTGACGTTAGAAACCATGTTACAAATATGAAACTGATGAAACATGAATCTTAAAAAATAATTGGTTTGTGTCTATTTGTTTTAGATTTATCTAAAATAAAAGCTATAAATAGATAAAAAGTTATTAAAAGATGGATTAGAATAAACAATTAAATAAAAAACCTTTTAATTTTGGTAGTTTTGTCAAGTACTACTCAAAGAATAATTCACTGCAAGCGATTTCCGGCAAAAACATTTTAATTTAAACATAATAAATTCGTTTTTCTTTATTATAATATATTTTGTATAAAGTTCTATCATGCCACAAACATGACAAATAATTGCTTTGGGATTTTCAAAACAAAACTGATGGTCTGAAACAGCGTTTTGGAATAAAGCAATGTTTTAGGAATTACTATTTAAAGAAAAAAAATTTTAAAATGATGCGTGAAGAAATTAAGAAGAGTATTGGAAAGCTATCGGACTTTAGACATCCTTATATAATTACTAGTTTTATTAAAAAATATTGCAAGTTTATAGTGTTTTCCCTTCAGAGCAAGACAAGTTCATTTAAAATTTATTTAAATTTGACGCGTTTCTAATTAACACTTAACATTTAATAAATTTTAAATGAACTTTTATATAAAAAAGTTATAATTAATGATAAGCTATTTTAATATGTTTAAAAGTGCATATTAAATCTCACTCAAATTCTTTGTATTTTAATTATATTAAGATATTGAACATTCATTAAATCATTGTCTACATTTCAATTGACTGTATAAATCCGAAAAATATTAACTAATAACTTATTCAAAAAATTCTTTAAATTTTATTTATAAATTAATTATTTTTGTATTAACCCTTAATGAATTGTCTATCTTTATTGTGTCTGTTACTACCATTTATTATTACAAAAGATGTTGAAGATAGAGGAATGAACATAGTGGAGTTTTTTGCACTCGTGGCATATTATGGAGCTTTTTTGTGGACTTTCTTTTTATGTATTGCTATATTTTTATACCTGTTTTTCTTTTATTTATTATAC